AAAAAAGTAATAATAAAAAAATAATTGTTTTATTTCGATTACGTTGTTTTCGTAATCGTTGCAAGCCATAATCGTAATCGCGATTAAAATACGATTAATTGAGCAGCCCTACTTTACATACAATCACACTACAACCTGTTCCGACACTGTTTTTTCTAAATGAGAAATAGGAAAAATAAGATGTTTCCCTTTGTGTTTGCTTGAACTACATAAACAGTGTGTGTCCACTATAAAGCCGAATTAAAACGCACTTATTTACTACATAGAATTTTTTTTGTTTTTTGTTTCTTTGGGCAAAGTACAATAGTTAAATCTTTTTTACAGATTCAGCAAAATCAAAGAAACATAGTAGTCCCTTTTCCTGACAACTGCTGAATTGAGGCTCAGTGTTGACTTGCACCCGTTAAGTTCTCTGGGGGAAAATAGAATAGCAAAATATTTTTTGAAATTCCTTTAACCCTCTTTTTCCCCTTTCAACAGATAAAAACAGACATGCTCCTGCTCATGTGCAAGAAGCAAACAACACAGAATTGGGAGTGCCTAACGAAGGCGGAAAAGCAGACAAAAGACAAAGAGTAAGTTAAAAGAGAAATGGAAATTGGTTACTTTTAGTTCAAGTGATTTGCACAAATTAGGTGACATAAGGCCGCTGCATGCTTCCAATTAGTTAATTTGTGAAAGATATTGTACAATATATATGATGACATGTGTGATTAATACCACTTCTAATTCCTGTTGCAATGTGTTGTGAATAGCTAAGGACATATTGGTAAAAGCAGTGTAAGAAATGACATAATCTCATACACCTCTGCAGTGCAGTACCACATCTCTCAGCCAGGTGTCACTGTATACAATGTAGCATGTGTGCAGGCTACATGATGGAAACTCCTGCTATTCTGATGAACACATAACAACTGTTATACTAATGTCCCCCTACAGTAAACCCAATGTTGAAGCGAATGCAGACCCCAGCGATGGCCTGATGACTATGCTGAAAAAGATTTACTCAGATGGAGATGATGAAATGAAGAGAACCATCAACAAAGCCTGGTCAGAGAGTCAAGAGAAGAAAGTTCGAGGAGGAGGCGGAGAAGACATGATGGACTTCTGAAATGATTCAATGTGTTTCCACAGCAGGACCAAGTGAGAGCTGCCAGGGATGCACCTGACATGAGTTGAATATTACATGTTATGGAGTGAAGTCAATTATATTTCAACAAAAACTAAAAGTGTACAGCTCATACATAGGGTTTGGGAATAATGTCTAAGCTCTGGATTGTCACATTTTTAGCCTGGCTTTTAAAATCAGTCCACCAATCGCCTGCTAGTCATACAAATGAAAACAGATTTGTTTGTGTTGAAGGACCACAATGAAGTTGTTTTTCTTTAGATTAATATGTGTTAGTACTTCTAAATTTTGATTGGACCATGGTAAATAAAACATGTGAGCAGTGTTGTGTAAAGTCAAACCTTAATTTTGTTCCTGTGCAGCTAAACTGAGCTGATATTTAAAAGTGTAGCCTACATTTGCCAAAGTCATGCTCATATTCCTTTAATGAACACAACAAGATGGCTCCTTTGACCTCTTTCAATGTCTTCTTCATATGCACATTTCATTTGTTGTCATTCCAAAAATATTTCAAATGAAACCGGCAAGGACATTACTGCTTACACATCAATCTAGTGTAATAGGAAACATAAATGCATAGATCTGTGTTTGGCGTCTTAATGTAAATTTTACCCATTCCTGTTGCATAATAAAATGCTCTGAAACACATTCTATTTTCATTAATTAATGTTACTGTTGCATTTTCATGGTGTTGGACTGATAGCTACTTTAAACCTATTTACAGAAGCACTATTGGAGTTTCCTATTTCTTTCCAGTGTTTGTGAATGTCTAAAATGTTTGTATTGATTACTTTGATTTTACTTTGGCTTCATAGTTTTGCATGTGTTGTTGCTCGCCCTCAGGTTGTTCAAAAATGTTCTCACAAATACAGATCTTGGAACTGGGTCTACTTTGCGTCCGCTTTTTCTTCTAGTTTTTGAGCTCATAATATTGTAATCTGTTTCATTTGACATAAGATTGCATAAACACTATGAGTGTGATCCGTCTTGGCTGAATGGTTACATTTTTGTGTAGTCATAATTGAGATATTCCTTCACAGAGGCCTTCCTGCTCACATACAAGGTGATTTTAGTTTAAGACAACGACTCATTAAACATAATCTTAAACCCTTTATTTTTTTAAAGAACATGATAGGATAAGCAATGTTCCAAAATATGTTTGACAAATGTTCAAGGTTCTTTATTGTCAAACTAACATAGCTACAGAGTAATTATGTCGTTGAACATCTTAGGTCACAGGCTTCTCCAACAATGCAACACAATAATACAGATAATCAGACAATATTAAAATATACTATATTAAAAGTAATACAAAAAGAAAAATTGTTTAAAAAAAAGTGGAATAGTGCAATACGAGTCTATAAATTATTGGAATTAGATAATAGATTAATAATTACTAAGTGGCAGATGAATGTTATGAAATTGTTTCAGCAGTTCAGTTGTTTAACAGTCTTATTGCCTGCGGGATGAAGCTGTCTCTGAATCTGGTTGTTTTTGTCCGGAGGCTGCAGTAACGCCTGCCAGACGGCAGCAGACTGAACAGTTTGTGGCTGGGGTGATGATGGGGGTCTTTTATAATCCTGAGGGATTTCTTCCTGATCCGCTGGGAGTAAAGGTCCTCCATGGATGGCAGCTCCGTCCTGGTGATGTTAACTTGGTTTGCTTGTAATGCAGTAGAGCATTAACTGGAACATAAGTTGTCCTGTCTCTATAGACAGTCACAGGATGTAGAGAAGTGAATACATTTAGTTTAAAATTATTTATATACATATAAAGTTGTGCAGTGCATGAGCCAGCAACCTGCACGTTTCGTCCACCAGGTGGCAGCTGCGATCACTTGTTCGCATGAGTTTCCTCTGGGATTATACACACATAAACGCAGCCAATATAGAATTTGTTTTTAATATTTCCTATGATTCTGCATTTTTTGGCAGAAAACCACGTATTTTCTCTTCCTGGAGTTTCCCTTGATTAAATAAAGGCTCATGACAGTATTTTTTGACGATCATTTGTGAGTCACAGATATTTTGGACCTACAGGTGGGAGTACTTACATCAGCTGTTGTAGTATTTCCATGGTAGTATATGGCTAGTATGCTAACCAATTTGTAACATGACATTGTAATGTCCCAGAGATGCATGAGCGTATGTTGTGAACTGGAAGTCATCAATCAAAATTCATTTTATGGCGCAGAAATCTCATTATTTCATAGATAATAGTTTTAGTAATAAAGCCAGAACAATACCAAGCTTGACAAACTATTAATTGCACACTTTAAACAAAAACTTTAAACTTAATGATATGGCATTTCAAAGTTCAGGTATATCACCGAAGATTCATTTTAAAAAAAGGAAATAATTAGAATAAGAATAAAAATACACTTAGATGGGTCACATGTGCATCATCACACTGTCCTAGGCAACCATTCAGTAAACTGAGTTTCAGATTAAACCTGGCATAGAGTGGATACCCCCTGCTCGGGTTACAGCGTGTCATTGTCCTTATTCGCGGCGTCACTGACACATGATCACCAACATTCATTAAACTTTCAAATAGGCTTTTTCATTCATATTTTTCTTACATACCGGATCATGTTATTTCTTTTTTTTTGAGATTGTGTCTGAGCAAACCGTCTGGACTTTCTCCACCAGTGCAGCAACTCGCCCCGCCCCTCTCAGTGACGTCGCTGCTCGCCTATATAAACTCAGAGCGCCGTGCCCAGAGACGCCAGATGGATACAGTTGGACGAGGTGGACGATACTTTACGCACCAGACCAGACCAACTACCGATAAAACGATCGAAAGGGAACTTAATACAAACTTATTATTTACGCTACCGTGTGAAATGGATACCGGTTGTTTCACCGCGGCGCAGCGTATTTCGTGCCACGCCACGAATGCTGATTTGTTTAAACCTGCTCAGGAGCGTGGACCCCAACAATCCTCTGCCCAGGTGAAAGCCAGCAGGAATAAACCCGAACAAACCAAACCGGAGCTGGCCCAGGTGGTGACAGACTCCAAAACGGGAAGATCATACAGTAAAGGGAAGCTTTTGGGAAAGGTACGAAGATTTAACTGTTTCATGTGTATGTCTCGCTTCACCACAGATATGTTTAGAGGCGTCTTACCCGAGGCGAAACATTGATCTAGAATTGTTATGAGAGAATCACTATTAAAGGTCGATCTGTCTTCATTATTAATCAGTTTCAGGTGTGACACTAATGCGGGAATACTAAATTACCTCGCGGTGGATTAGGCCAATATCTCCCTGCTGTGCGAATCATTGCTGAATGAATCAGGCGCAAGGTGTGTCGCTCATGTGCGCACACATGATTGGCAACATATTCTATAAAAGCCAATAATTATACGCCAGAATCCGCACATTTGAATGACATCTCAGGAGACTGTTAACCCAATAATGTGCCTGCCTGACTAGGCATCTCTCCTCTCACAATACCATCGCATCTTTAATGATTTGAGACGTATGTTCCATGTATGAATGGAGATCCTGTATCAACATGTTGCTCATCATCGATACGCTGCGTCGAGCAGCCAGCCAAATCTGTGTTCCTCCGCTGATCCTGCCGCAGAGCTGGAAACGTCCGTCAATTTCACAGTTAATGAATGCAGCAGCTCTGTCTGCCCCAGCCTTCACGTCCTCAAGCATGTAGTCTTGGTTGCATCTAGAAAAATGCGTTGATAAACAGTAGTTAACAAATCAAGGCTGAATGTCGGTTTTTGGAGGCATATGAGAACATCCAAGGCAACGAAAGATGCATTAATTATCTTGATTACAAAATCATGCATGTGTATACATATAAACATGTCTTGTTTTTTTTATTGTAATGCATCCCCCCCCCCCCAACCAAGCATTACCTTAATCCTTTTGATTGCTGTACAGCTATTGATCGCCATGTAGCAGGTTATTTATGGCCAGTGCAGGTTTTTAACCTGCTGCTTTTCCCAACTGATCATCCTTTTTTTTTTTTTTTCCCCAAGGGTGGCTTTGCTCGATGCTATGAGATGACCGATCTCTCCAGCAACAAAATGTATGCCGTGAAGGTGATTCCACAGAGCAGGGTTTCCAAACCACACCAAAGGGACAAGGTGTGCCTCGGCTTGTTTGTCTCAGTATTCATAGAGGCCTAATCATTACCTGAATTTAATATCTGAATTGTTTTTGCGCTCACAAACTGACTGATGTCACCTTTTTAACAGATCACGAATGAGATCGAGCTCCACAAAACCCTGTCGCACAAACATGTGGTGAAATTCTCCCATCATTTTGAAGACCAAGATAACATCTACATATTCTTGGAGCTCTGCAGTCGGAAGGTAAGACTTCAAACATTTCTACAACACTGTGCGCAGCCTGCATGTGTTTTTTCTTTATCATTGCTCAGTGACACAATATATTGTATTTATGTAACCTGGGTTAAAGTATACAAAGCACAATCATCCTAACCTTAATCATTGTCCCGCGACTGTGGTGTTTATGCAGCAGTGTTGTACAGTCTCAGTGACGAAAGCATGGTTGACATTTCCTTCATTGCTCTGTCTCTGCAGTCTCTAGCACACATTTGGAAGGCAAGACACACGCTCACAGAGCCAGAAGTGCGATATTACCTCAGACATATCATATCTGGCCTCAAGTACCTCCACAGCAGAGGGATCCTACACAGAGATCTCAAACTAGGTATGTGAACATGTGACAAAGCGATGTACGTCCACAGCAAGCATCCCAGGAATCTGCTGTGACTTTGGGAATCCACATGGTATCTCTGGAATGCTGACTGGACAAATGTTTTTGTCTTTTTTCAGGCAACTTCTTTGTCAACGAGAACATGGAGCTGCGGCTGGGAGATTTTGGTCTCGCTGCTAAACTGGAGACAGCCGAGCAGAGGAAAAAGTATGAATTTTTAACTGCTAGCTACTATTTTTAAGTAGTTGCGTATTTTTTAAGGCTCAAATGAGATATTTCAAAATTCAACATGGCTTTGGGGATTTATTTCACGTTTTAGTTTAGATTTATGAAGTTGAATTCATTTAAATGTCATGCGTGGTTCACGTACATAAATATAACCCAAAGATAACATTACATTCTTAGAAATCTTTTTCACGCTTGAATAGTGCACATTAATCACAAACCAGTCAGCTTCCTCCTCCCACTAGCCTCCCCCCCCCCCCCCCTCCAGTAAGTCCCTAACTAAGCCGGTTTCCAGGTGGCAGTTGAATGTAGCGCTTAGAGCAGAGTTTCAATACTATTTTGACACCTTCCTGTGGAATGCCAGAAGAATGAGTGGCAACCACCATTTCATCGTCTGCATGATGCATCTTCAGAAGAGAAAGTAGTTTGATGCATCATTTAACATCTGTCGTGTACTTGTTTTTCCTCAGAACAATCTGTGGGACTCCCAACTACTTGGCCCCTGAGGTGCTCAACAGACAGGGCCACGGCACAGAGTCCGATGTTTGGTCCCTCGGATGCGTCATGTAAGTTATATGCTCCGGTCATGTGCAATATAACATTTGTGTTTCATCGTAGTCAGTGTGAGAATGAAGACATTCTATCCAATCACTAAGAATGTGTATTGGTCTGAATGATCTTGAGTTGACCAATGGTTTCCTCGCTTTATCACCTTCAGGTACACACTGATGTGCGGCAACCCACCCTTTGAGACACTTGACTTGAAGGAGACCTACAAATGTATAAAAGACGTTCGGTACAACCTGCCCTCCTCGCTTTCCCCCGCTGCACAGAAACTCATCTCAGGCATCCTGCAGAAAAACCCCAGCGACAGACTCGCACTGGATCAAATCCTCAACCATGAATTTTTCACCAAAGTACGTAAAGACTCATGCTCATTCAGTCTGTTTAAAGAACAATAACTGGATTGGATGCATTCATCCATTTATGGTCACATGTTTTTCTATTGGATTGAGATCATAATGTTTTTTTGGGAGTGGAGACAATGGTGCTTGTAACAAGAACAGAATATCGCGTGTTGGTGCTTGACGTATCACCGCTTTGTTCCTCCTTACAGCCTCCTTATCCTCTCTGCCCTTTTTCTTCCTCTAGGGTTTCACCCCTGATAAACTTCCCCCTAGCAGCTGTCTGATGGTGCCAGAGCTCCACCCACCCAGCCCTGCCAAGAAATTCTTCACTAAGATGGCGAAGAGCTTCTTTAGCAAGAAGAAGGCAAAAGGTAAGCAGCAGCACAGCAGTCGAGTTACAGAGACAACATTTTTTAACTATTCTGCTATTTTAAGATGCAATGTCACTTTGCTCAACACCTGTCACCTTGATACTCTCAAGGGAACTGATGTTTGAATTACTGGATTGTGTTTAGTGTCCTTCAAGCATGTTAGAACTACCGTAGGCATCGCTCCTGTAGTTAAAATGTTTGTCTACAATGACGTAATTTATTTTTTGCAGTGGAGAAGATTCCATTAGAGGAAAAAGATGACAAAGACATTTCCAAGCTGGTGTCTGGCATCGTGAAATGTTCCATCAACAGGCAGATCAGCTACAAGACAGTGGGACCCAATGAGGTAAATATAATTTAGTTTTGTCCTATATCTGCAAAGGTTGGCTTTTTTTGTATTTTTTATTTTTTACATAAAGTTACTTTCAGGAACTTGACGAAGTCCCAGAAGTAGTAAATAAATATTCCATGGCACCTCTTATGTCTGATCATTGCTTTGCATTCAGTGTTTTGAAGCAAGCTTAACATATTTGCAGCATGCTTATTCTAGCAGTTGAGCTATCTTTTTTTAAATGGCACAGCAATGGAATTGTTAACTGACTGAACATAGGGCAGCCATATTGTTTATGCAGTGAATTATGCTTTTTATTTAGACGTCAGTCGTTGTTCTTGAAAGGATATAGAAGCTTGCTTTTCTGGCTTTAATGCTTTTTTTTTTTTTCTTTCCCTAAAGTCCTTCAAATTACACTTATCGACGCCAGCTTTTGTTTGTAATTTCTGAAACTGTTACTGCATACTTGATAAATAGTCAAATCCATCCTTTCCTTTTTTCTCTCTACTACACCATATTAATCCTAGAACAGGCTGTGCATTCATTATAAAAAAGATTCAGAACCAGAGCTTAGACTAATGCCACAGCAGTAGGAAGCTCAGTTGGCCAATCCCTTTTCAGGCTGGTCTAGTTGCTATTCTATAGAGCCCAATAGGAAATCATAGTTTGCACTTTGGTGTGAATGTTTCTTTGTCAGCTTGATAATGAGCATGTGCGGAGTAACCAGGTTAGTCAGGAGGCATTTGCTGATCACACAAAGTAGTTGTCAAAAGTAATTGACTTTTTTTTTTTAAATGCGCACAGGCTTACAAACCAATTACCAGATTAGCACAAAATGACCTCTGATAACCTGACATTACAAATGAAAAAGCTGCAGCATGTTTTCAAAGCACCTATGGTAACTGGCATTAAAGCAGTTTAACCCCTGTGTGATGGCAAGGTGCATAACATTTGCACATATGAAACCTGTGACGCGACAACTGTATAGCTGTAGCTGAATATAGCATCTCTGGCCGATAGACCCACAAATGCTAAGCGTGTGTTTCAGGTATTAATAAAACTCATGCGGTTATTCTAGGTGTCATTATTTCCTTCCTCTGTTCTTACTATCAGTTTTGTTTTCCCTTACAAATTAGTGAACATGTCTATCTTTTGTTGCTACTCAGGTGCCTTGTCCCATTGGTCACGTGGTCAGCCCCCTGCCTCTGGAACCCACTCCTGCTGAGGAGGAATCAAGGAAGTCACTCTCTAACTCCTTCAAGGGCACAACGGCCAGCAGCACTGAACGTAAGCGGCAATGCTTTTCTTTGTTGCCTTTTTGATTGCTTTTTGTAAAAAATAAAAATTCTCATCTGTCAACAACATTTTCTTTTTAACACTTTGTTTTCTCTCCAGCATGTGAAGACATCCCGACTCCAGCATCTGTTTCTGAATCGGCCTTGAAAGTTCTCAACAGCTGCCTTGCTACCATGCCTGCAGGTAAGAGAGCAAAACACACTGAGCTATACAAATGTAAAGCACTTTTGGCAAACAGCATAATTGTATCACTTTTTGGCAAGTCAGATCAACATGTCTAAACACAAGACAATAAGTGTACAGTCTGAGTAGCATTCTGCATCTGAGATTCAGAGCACAATAACTGCACACCAGATAAAAATGCTTAACCATCTTCCTTTTGTTACTTTAATTGGAAATCATGAGAAATCATCCAGTTTAATCAACCATTTCTTTACCTTGCCTCAGCCATTTCAGCACATCTGAATCGCACTTTTTAAGATACAATCTTTGTTACATTTGTGGCATAAAAAACGTTTTAAATGGTGACTTTCACATAAAATGTCCTCTATTGGTTTTGATATGCCATCATTTTGTTTTTCCATAGTCCCTAAATCTCTTTATTTCTTATCTCTCCAGCCACTAGGAACCCACCCTGTTTGTCCCGGCCCCAGTCCTTCCTGTGGGTGACAAAATGGGTCGACTACTCAAACAAGTATGGTTTTGGCTACCAGCTCTCGAACCAAAGCATCGGAGTGCTCTTCAATGAGGGAACACGCCTCAGTCTTTGTGACCAACGCAAGTAAGTACCTTTTTAGAGCTACAGTATTTGCTTTGCCTTACGGAAACATTACAGTGTGCTCAGAACCACTTAACAGATTGGTTCAAACTACACCAGTTTTCTCATACTCATTATTTCAAATCAACTTTTTAATTTTCAAATTGCCTCAAGTAACTTATGATTTATTTTCTTTCACTTTTGTAACCAGGACGGTCCACTACTGCTTGCCCAACAACAAACACTTCACCTTCCCCACTACTGCGCTACCTGAGCAGCTTCGGAACCAGAAACAAATTGTAGAGCTCATGGCCAACTACATGGAGCAGAACCTTATGGAGGTATGAGCAAAGTGGTTAATTTTAGCCAAAAGACTTCAGCCACAAATACTCAATTACTTTTTGGATAGCCTTTGTGTAATGAATTAATTAAAATGAGACAATGGTTTTCCTCATCCTCTGATCTAATCATTGTATGCCTTCTTCAGGGTGGTGATCTGCATTGTGACAATCAAGTATCGGGTTGCCCTCCTTTCCTGCTCCAGTGGGTGAAGACGGACCATGCTCTTGTCATGCTCTTCAACAATGGCACTCTACAGGTTTGAAAAAGCTCATTAATTCTATAAATTAATTATTTATTCTTTTGAGTCTTAGATTTTTCTTATACCCAGAATAGCATTTACCAACATTGGTAACTACTATATTTGATTATGGATTTCTTGTTCTTACATTCATGCTCTGTTCTTAAATCCTTCCAGGTTAATTTCTATGCTGACCATACCAAGATCATCCTGTGCAAGTCCTCAGATGACGCCTACCTGCTCACCTACATCAGCCGGGAGCGCGTCTCGTACACGTACCTCCTCAGCATGCTGAATGAGATGGGCTGCACCGCAGAGCTGAGACACCGCCTGCGATACGTGGTCCAGCTGCTCCAACACCACGCTGATGCCTGAGACCGCTGCTCATTGGCTCCCAGGCTGCCTAACTGGCAGATGCCTTAGAGGCGATCTGACTGGTTAACACCTCGCTTTTAGGCAGCCTGACTGGTTGACTTAATTTCTCAATGCCAGGACGAGCTGACGCCTGTTTAGTTGACGGAAGGAAGACTACTCTGAGGATTTGAGCATATATTCTTTTCTGAACTGGTGTTTAGGCAGCTGATTTTTCAAATTGTTTGACCTTGATCAACATCAAGCAGTCAGGAGGTTGCCCAATGCAGCATCTGCCTCGAGGGTTTGTCCTGTCCACCGTGAAGGTATTGATGCCTAAAATAAGAGACTCCTCTCTGGCCTGATATGATGGATCCCTTACCGGCAGATTCCTAAATTAACATTCAAACTCCCAATTACCTACCCTCACTCACAACCATTGCTTCTTGGCTGGATCTTTCAAAGCCAACAATCAACCCTCCAGCTTCCCCTGATTGAAGATAATCCAGGCATGGTTTCTCAAAAGTATCTTAACACTAAACTTGTCTTAGCTTGCAATGGCACAAGGACAATATTGCAGCTGGAATTCTTTTAGGCTCTGTTTTCTAAACTTATTTTAGCAGCAAGGTCACTTGCACTGTTGTCAAGCACTGAAAGATTCTTTGGGAAGAACTGTTGTTTGATTGGGATGAGAGAGCCTCCTACCCTCTGTTGGTTTCTGGCCGTTCGGACCATGGTGCACACACATTATTTTTTCTTGTTTTAGAAAAAGGAGACATAGAGCCAACTAGGATCACACTACCATCTTGACCTCACATGCACAAGTAACATTCCTGGCCTTATTTGATGATGGTGATCTATCCAACACCACTTTATCTTTTTGTTATAGTTGTTAGAAAGAAATGTCACTGATGTGGTACACGGCATACTACAGGGGCTTTGGGAGCAACACAATTTTGCACTCTTGTTTTTTCTTTTAGTAACTTCATCTTGATAGCGAAACATTTTAATCCCACTTGTTTTTAACAACACACCAAAAGGCCTTTTCTTTCTCGGTTTTTTTATGATTCATTTTTAAATTCACAGTTCATAAGGTGAATGTGTGTGCCACACATGTGCTGGTAAACAAAACTGCTGGTTGGAAAATGAGGGTGGGGAGGGGGATAAAAGTGCCTTTCTGAGGGATGTCTGTATAGTGCAATAACAACCCTTTGTGAATGTCAAGCTGGATACAAACAAGATTTGAGAGATGGGTTTTACAGGTGGCATTTACTTTTATACTTTAAGCAAAATTTAAAAGTAAGTCCATTAGCACTACACTCACTACCTGGTATAAGCTTTTAGAACAACTGGTATCATAAGTATATATCCCAGTAATATCTATTATGGAAAAAACATTGTACTCTGTTGTACTGTAATCCTCTTGGTTTACATTACTTTCTCAACCCAGAGTTGTATCCTAAAAACTGTGACCTGGAATGCAAGTATTACGTACATGTGTTTTCAAAAACCCAACATTGTGAAAGCCATCTGCCAATTCAGAATAGTCTTTATTTTTTGGCACATAATGTCCTGTTTATTTATTTTTTTATTTATACATGTTTTTTATTTATTGTGTAAATGTTATGGTCTTGACACAAGGAAATGTTCAATTCCGATCACCTTTTGTATGTAACATATTTGGGGGGGAAATGGGACAAAATAAAGTTTATTGAAAATTAACTTGTTACCTTTTTTCTTTTTTTTCTCATTGGAATATTTGGAGCATCTGCTGTAGCTTTATATCTTACTAGATTGGAGAAACTTTTTTAATTCAGTATTTGTATCTTTGGTTTATGATGGAACATTCACCAATAACATTATCATGCTACCCTTTGTGGCATAATTTTTAAAAAAAAATTCAAAGGGAACCAAGACTTTGCTGTCATTCTCATCATGGTTTAAAGAATAGTGTTTGACAGTATTGACTATAACATGTTGAGATGCAAATGATGTGCTTCAATGCACTTAATCAGTCTTTTAAAAAAAAAAATAACACACATCAAATGTATTTGTTGGTGGTGCATGTCTCCCAATGGCTAGCTCTCAGAGTACTTGGTCTTCCGAAAGTTCTACAGCCATGTTTAAGGTTAAAGACTTGCTATGCTGGTGACATTTTGATTTTAGAAAAACTATCATACCCTATAAAATAACTGTCCTCACCTGACTTCTGTATCCCTTTCTATTCGACTCCAATGCACATTATGGTAAGTAGCTTGACCCCTGACGGTCTACTAAATCTACTCCACATAGTAACACGCATAGGAGAGAACTTTGAGAAGTGACTGTGCCAACTCGAAGGCAGCCTTGGCATATCTAAAATCCTGAAACTTGGCCATTGTTCAGTCTTGACTTGCTTACTTTGAGTCAGGTTTCATTCTGAACTCCTGGGCTTGTTTCTATTGTGAGGCTTGTTGAGTGGATGGAAGAACAGGGAAAGCCAGAAACATTTCTATGCTTTGTCACGCTTCAATGAAGCAAAAGAGGCACTCTGAAAGCTCCCCACAATGTATTTGTACATTTAAAACGACATGCAAAACACATTGGGTATAACCAAGTTGATTGCATTAGATAAGGGTATACTGTGGTTTTCACACAAAAGGTGAAAAGAAAGAATTGTGTGTGCACACCAATTTCATATCAGGTACTTTGGGAAGAACTTGTATACGTTACTTCTCAACTGATGAAGCTTTATTGTCACTAAACAGTGACACTGTAACATGTTGATGTGAGACAATTGAGTCGTAAACAGTAGAGGAACATGACCTCTTTCTTGTTGCCCCTCAGCCGTGAGCAGTAACATCACCCCAAGTGAGTTCCTCATCAAAGCATCAACTACTCTAACAAATGCTTCATTAACTAAACAGTGTGAGCAAACTAAAGCATTGTTCTTCCTGAAAGACTTGAACAATTAAGAACTATACGCAGTTTATGGGTCAAAGTGTCAGTGTTGAGTTTGACTTCATTTAGTAAAAAGTGTTACAGTATTACAGGAACCAAACATGACAAAGCCTTTCTTGGTATTCTTAGTTATTTCTTAATGTTATTGTTGTATGCATTTATTTCTGTAATGGAAATAAGATACGATGCCTTTAGTTAAGAACCCGGTTAGGGATCCAATATAATTGTTTGATTCTAAAATATATCGAAACTTGGCTTGAACAGTCTAGTTTGCAGCATTAATGGATTTTAAAACTTAAAAACACACAAAGAAACTAAAATATCTGGATGGCAGCTGATGCTTTTTGTTATCTTATATTAAATCTGCACACAGTGTCAGCTGAGAGATTCTGTCTTCATAAAAGGATAGAATAGTTAAGTATGACATCAACAAAAGTCCCACATCACTGTTTCAAACTTGTGGAACTAGTTTAATTATCTTTCCAACAAAGGGACAAATTTTTCTGCAATGTTCTCGGTAATAGTTCACAGACGTGAATACCTTGAATAGCCCGTTGCAGTTTTTTTGTTATGACAAGACAAACAGGCTATAATAATAATATATTGACAGGCAGAATTCTCGGGGGGGCAGGAAGGTTGAAATATGAGAAAGCATGAACACGAAATATTGATGTATGGATATGGACATAGACCTGTGATTTCATATATGTGCACATAAAGACATGTTATTGGGACAGAGAAGACACACAAACAAAATACAAATGTAAAAAAATCCACAAACAAACAGACACACCTCCCTGCAAGTCTCAGCTGATGTAATATTTTAACCATGAACACAGTCAGGCAATGAGAGCAAAAACAGCCTTATTAGTGGGTGTTTGACGTTGCATAAGTCAACTCGCTACAAATCTCCATAGAGAGCAAAAGAGAGACAGAGGGAGGATAATGTTGTCAAAGCTCCCTCCTGATTGTTTGAAACTGGGGCAGCAGCAAGACAACACAAGGCTCCTCTGCCGTAAATCTTGGGCCAAAAAGTGCTGATTTCTCATTTTCAATTGCGGCGTGAGATATTCACTTCACTCAGCCACTGACCTCATAGGTCTAAATGAGAATCTTTTTCTACATTGTTTGTGTTGCTTCCTGCATTGCAATTATTTAATGACTGTTTTTTTATATTTAGCTATATGCTCGTATGAATGATCAAAACAGTGCCGGGATGTCATTATGAATTGAAGATTAATAGTGGACTTCAAGTCACAGAGAAATGAGCCGATACAGAGAGAGATGTATCTCAGTGTGTCTATGAGATTGATGAGGAGGAATGTTTGAGTTTCAGAAATGAACGGCTATCTTTTACGAGGTTACTGATGCTATCTGCTTATACTGGCAGGTACAAATGGAAGAAGGAAGCTTGCTGTATTTTGAATATTGTCGGCCTCATTATTTTTCTTTTAAGCTCCTGACACTTTTCTACAGAACTGCCCACCCCAGTATGTGGTCCAAAGATGCCCCACATTCAATAAAGAACTTCATTGTAGGTGGAAAAATTGATGGTTGCTGTTCATTTACTGATTAGCTTTTGGTGTAGATGTTGTAGATGTTTGTAATGGAAAAAAACTGAAAGTGAATGCACCCAAAATATTTCTAACACCACACGAGAAAGCCACATGAGCCTAAATACGGCAGGTGCGGTAGGTCAGAGTTAAACAAGGACATTGGTCTGCAAAGTATGATTGTGCAGGCACTCTATTGTTTGTTTATAATAGTGTTAAAGGATTAAATACCAGTGACATAAATGCCTGTGGCTTCCTCCTCTTTAACAAATGATGTAATGCCACCATTTAGTCTTAAAAGGTTTTACATGTGTTGCTTCTTCCAGGAGTCTACAGATTGTCAGGAAGTTTGTGGTTTTCCAGCAACAACAGTATAGCTTGTTTGCTATAAACACAAGATCTCAATAGATAACATTGAGATGACACAGCATAAAAAGCAATCCCATGAAACATAATCAAAGGCAAAGCAAATGTTACTCAAAACTGGTTAAACTCAGACATTTGTAATTGGGATGTGGAGTCTGGGATACATCATATACTGTATGCTGCATTACCTCCAAAACACACTATCAGTAGGCTCTTTAGAAACTGTACAGATATTTCAGCATTAAATACTTTGTTCGCCAGTTCTACTGCACCTCAATGGCAATACGCCAAATCCGTTCAACAATGTGATTGCTTTTTCAGCACTTCTTTAGTCTTTCATGTCTGCAAATAGTTCAAAAAATGATTAACATAGTTGAATAAGTCTTCAATTATTACTGAAGAGCAATTACAATTCAGCCTTTCAAATCTGTTTATCTAAATGAGGTCACTTTGTCATTGGAAAGGGATCGTGCAGTGTAGGGGAGGGAGACATGACAGAACATGTCTGGATCGGCTTAGTCACATGAATCTGTTTCTGTTACAGACCGATGGCAATAGAAACATGACTTTAATGCTGATCGTAAATATTGTAAGAAGATAAGAAATGTTGTTTGGATTTCCTTAGTTAATAAACGATACAGGCATCATTAAAAAGAGATATAAAGTTGAAATACAGGCTGATAGATTTGTGTAATAAAAGTTCCCAGAAATGCAAAACTTCTCTTACTTTCTTACTGTAAGTGATGAAATAGCAAGTCCGTAAGCAGATGTTACAAGGAGTCCTTGTTAAACTTGGCAAGTGTGTGTGTGTGTGTGTGTGTGTGTGTGTGTGTGTGTGTGTGTGTGTGTGTGTGTGTGTGTGTGTGTGTGTGTGTGTGTGTGTGTGTGTGTGTGTGTGTTTGTGTGTGTGTATGAGAGAGAATATAAGAGGGAGAGAGAGAGAAGTATTCAAAAACGAATCTCACATTAACCTTAAGTGTAATATATTTAGAAGTGTCTTGTTGTCATACTTCTCACACATTTACCAGATGATCATTTCCCCTAGTGTGACATGACATCATGTTTATATGTTGAGGTCACACGCTCACTCCTATGTCTGAAATGATTTCCTGTGGAAGGATACACTTGAAACAACAATAGGCCAGCAGAAGGCCTACCGTATATTAAAAACACTTACAATAATATATCACTCTCATGGCCTGTACAAAGCAAATGGGATTATGGGAATGAGGGGAATAGTTGCCTAATCAGTTTTTATAAAACCATGATACTGATCACACACCCTCTCCTCGGTCTGCCTGTCTCGAGTGGTGGCTGACATCAGCAGCAGCCAATCAGCATAAAGATCTGGCCTGTGTAAAGAACGGATATTTCTTCATATTTTACTTTAGCTTGCGCCTCGGTGTTTCGGATTTATCAGCATTCAATGTTTGTTTAGTCACCCAGTATGTGGGCATGCTTATTCAGAGAATCCCATCTATTTAAATGCTGTTAACACCAGACAGACCCAATGATGCCTTTTGTTGAATGTTATTTTAAATCTCTTTAAATCACAAAAAAATCCTTCAAATCTTCATCCATCATAAGTTACATGTGTTTAGTTGCTTGTTTTCGACACAGATTTTATTTCTCTCTTTGTATCCTTAAAATGAAACTTTAAACTGATAATGTTCCCTGTGAGGATTGCTTTCTGTGGAAATCACAGAGAAACACAATCAATACTGCTGTGATCTGTAAAATCCTCAAAGAAGGGAAGGGCAAAGCCAAGTGGGTAGCATGGAAAAGGAGGCAAAGGACGGGACATCCTCCCTTTCCTCTGTGACCCTTGGCCACATCTTTTTCTGGCTGCGGTGTGTGTTTATG